TTTTTTTTACAGAGTGGCGGAAACGGGCTTCCATAGTTATGTACTGTGTCAGATGGTGCAGAACTACAATATGACAAGCTCCTAGTTTAAGTTCGTTTTTTAGCAAAATGTCACTTGTTTGATTTTGTAAATAAAGTTTAAAAAGTAAAAAAAAAGTATTTTTCTTGATTTATCGGCTGGTGGGAAACAGCAATAAGGTGCATTACCGCCACCAACCGATGGACTCTGGTAACACATTTACTCCTCTGAGAAAATCCCTTTCTATAATAATAAAATAAGTATTTTTAAATGTAGCCATTTTTTTGTGATCCATCAAAGTAATGTATTTTCATCAACTTTGGATGGACTAAAGAATGTGGTGTACAACTGCAACTACATTTATTTTTTTTGATTTTATTTATTTATTTTTTTGTTGGAGGTGGGGTAAAAAAAAGCACATTTTAGTTTTAAAAACTTTGAACACTATGTTTAATTTTCTTTTAATTCATATACATGCATTCCCTTTGTATAGCCCATAAATATCCATAAGAACAGTTGTTTATTAACAATTGAACTTTATTGAGCTCACATTAAAGAAATTCACCTCTGCATTTATACCATTCCCTTGAAGAGCAGTGGCCTGCCATAATGGGGCACTCGGGAGGCAATCGGGGATTATTCACTAACCACTAAGCCACCAACTCCTCTTTAGTAGTTAAGGCAAATATATTTAAGGCAAATAAATCGTTTAGTACATTGGTGTAGAAGCTCAGCTCCCTAATATAGAGGCTGACATAAAGGGTAGAACCTTTAGTGAGAGCCTCGGCATCTTTCATAAACCAACACCAGCCCTATTTACAAGATATTATTGTTGGATTATGCTCAATGCTGGATTTGTTCAAGAAATATGTAATTAAGTTTGATGCAGTCTTACTTTCCTCCAGCCATGTAACTTACATATCTTCAGAGTTGGACACACTAATTATTGAAAAAAATTTTAACATTAATAAACTTGCCTTGTCTTTACACAACTCTTGATTTTATAATCTCTTTGAACTCCACTAATGAGAGCTAACAGAAACAAATTAGTTGATCAATAAATAAAATTAGTAATGACAAGGGAACAAAAATAGAATTTTTCAATGTTGTTTTTTATTCTAATTTCTTTTCTGCGCCTCCAGTTCCATTTTCAGAAAAAAACAGCAGTAATATGGAAACTCCTCGAGTGGTTGAAGGGGAATCTGTTCTCAGAGAGAATGCACTGAAGCTCTGATACATGTTCCTCTTCCAATCAGATTCAGCTCAGCTGCACACGAGCATTTACTGAGTGATCGTCACCCTACCACAAGGAAGTGGTTTCTCAATGTCCATCACAGAAGGTCTGCTATGTCTTTCTCCACCATTTCGACGGGGTAATGAAGTTCATACCTGCATCACAGGGTGAATATACAGTTTGAAACAGAACAAATGACTGGCTTATATTGCTTGAAAACTTTGTCATCTTTACCTTTTGAAAGGGGTCCCATCTGCCTTAAAAAGAAACTTCTCAAAATTCCATCTAATGTCATTGACACTTATTGGGGACCAGTAGAACTTCTTTATGTCTCCAATTAGAGGATTCACAAATGGCAAAGATTCCTGTACAGAATCATGTTAATCAAAAAAGTTAGTTAATAGTCTGAATCCTTTGACTAAATAATTTCTAGAATGCTGAGTACCTTTAGATATGTGAAAAGAGGTTCTTCGTTTAATCCATTTACCTCGACCTTGGCAAATACAGGAAACTTTGGGACAAACCCACCACCAGGTCTCACATACTTAAGTATATTAAGCATTTCCTCATTCACCTCTAAAAAAATATACATATAGAAATTATTTTTTCTGACATCACATATCATATGAAGATAGAAATGTGGATTTTCATGATTAATGTGATTCACAAAGTGCTCACTGCTACTTCTTAAATACAGTTGCGAGATATCAAACAAGGTCAAGCACCACTAAGTAAACATGCTCAAAAATTTAAGTCAGTCCGAAGTTTACATTCTTGCATCATGCTCATTAATGTCAATAATTTTGGGGGCTTTTATAATTGTATTTGAATTAACATTTCTTAAGGGTGCAACATGATTAAACAAATGACATCACTGACTTTAACATCAGTTTTAGCATCTCTATCTAGAAGAATGAACATCCTACCAGAATTTCAGCAGGACTTGGCTTATTGTAACAAAAAGTGTATTCAGGCATCTATTATTGGGAGTGTATGTAAACATTTGATCCTTTATGCATAATTTTGAACCTAGGTGGGTTGGAGTAATTCAAACATTACTTCAAACTACTGCAAAATCTCGTTCTTTAAACATTATTGTGGTTGTTTGCTTTATAATCATTATTTCAGATAAAAATGTTTCCAATATATCACTTCAAAATACAAAAATAATGTGGGAGCAGGTAAAGAATGAGTGTATGTAAGATTTTGATCTGGACATTATATAAATATATAAAAGCACACAATAGGAGAAAATATTAAATGCATTAGAATAAACAAAATCAAACTTTTTATCTCTAACTCTTTATTTGGGTATTTTTAATATCCGCAAGATCTTAAGATCGTTTGTTGAATGAGTAGAGGGGAAATATTACAAAATATTATCCTTATCTTTTTTTAATAAATAGAACATTTTTTAAATAAATAAAATCTGAAATGCATATGGGTTAGAGTCGCAGATGTTAGCGCAGTTTGAACTGAAAATAAAAGAGAAAAGATCTCCTTTTTTTGCTTAAATTAACTTTGAAATTAACATAGAGTTATTTTCCCCCCTGTATTGTAAATACATTGGGGTTTGCCTGATAAACATAGTTCAATATAAATAAATGAAATTCCATGAGACAGGAGCATATACCTACCAGGTGACTGAAGACCAAACTGATTGCAGGGGAATCCTAATACGGTAAAATTCAGGTCTCCAAACATTTCCATTAGTGCATTCATTCTGTGATACTAAGATAATATAAAAATAATGGTTTAGTAAGACTAAATAGGTGGCAACACATTGCAGTTAACATGACGAATCACCTCCTCAATCGTTGACCCTCAGAAGGTGGCAACATTGACAATGAGCAGCACCTTTCCCCTGTAAACGCTCAGTGGAACGTTCTCTCCTTCCAACGTCTCAACAGAAAAATCATATATCGACTTGGCTTCCATTCTGGCTCTGTTGCTTTCATGTAGACTGAGTGGGAATTTACTCAACTACCCTCCTGAATGGTGTCATTCACTGAAATATAACTCATTGGTCAGCAGTTGTTCTGCATGATTGACTGCATTGTTTGACTAGACAGAGATGAGCTGGTTGGGGTAGCTAACTGTTCAATACATTGGTACCTGGGAAACCACTATTTAAAACATATACAGCTGTTTGGAACCTGATGATTAATTAAACAGTTAATTCCTATGTGTCAATATACTGAGATGATTTTAAACTGAATGCATGAATTAGTACTCACATACATCCATATTAATCCATATCCATAATAACATGCTTTTAAAGTTATTCAATCAGATGCAAAAATAAAATAGTCAATGCTGTTTTAAAAAAATATATACATATTTTTATTGCAATTACATTTACAGTACCTGTAATATCATATTACTTATATATGTAATCAAAAACTTATTTATGATGATATTTCATACTGAAGTATGTGTTATTTTCATAAAAAAAATGCAGTTCTTTTTTTTCTTGCTTGTCCGTATAATGTATATAATTTAAGCTACATCGATCATGTTATCATCTCTGACTTGGTTGTGGAATTGCTGTTTTAATTCTTTAAAGCACAAAACAGATTCTTTTATTGTATTTTTTTTTATTTTATTTCTTGAAGCTTCTTGTTTTATTTTACCTTACTTTTACTTTACAGAACCCCACTGTTGAAATCATGGAAAAATTACTTTCCTTTTAAAGTCCCACAAATATAGAGCATAAATACTTTAGAATAATATAAACAAATAATAATAAGTAATTTAAACTGATTGCATGAATAAGTACTAACATACATCTATATTTTTTATTTGGGCTTGCATAATAACATGCTTTTAAAGTCATACAATCAGATACAAAAATAAAATAGTAAATGCTGTTTTTTTTAAATTACAGTAACTGTAATATCACATTACTTATACACGTAATCAAAAACTTATGTATGAGAATATTTCATACTGATGTATGTACTATTCTCATAAAAAAAATGTATTTTTTATTTGCTTGTCCACATAATATATATAAAAGTTAAGATACATCAATCATGTTATCATCTCTGACTATTTTTTTTGCATGGCTGTTTTAATTGTTTAAAGCACAAAAAAGTTTATTTTATTTATTGAGGCATCATTTATTTTACTTTACTTTTACTTTACAGAACGCCACTGTTGCTGTCATGGACAAGTTACTTTCCTTCTAAAGTCCCACATAATATATATTTTTAATGTTAGCATTCATACTTTAGAATAATATAAAGAAATAATAATAAGTAATAATGAAAATGTATTAGCTTTGCAAAAAATCTAATTAGCCAGAAGAAATTAATCAAATTATAATCTCATCATTTACAGAAAGAAAATTATACTGGTGATAGATTCAAGTGTTCACCGTAAATGTTACAATGACTGATTTATTTCCAGAATAACTATATTAAACCGACACAAATGTATATATTTTTCTTAATGATATCATTAAAAACAATATCGCAAATCTCAACCCCCCAAAAAAGAAATAGGATGTGTCGTTATCGTGAGTTGTTGCAGCATTTACTACACAAATCCGTCAAAATCCAAACTAAATAGGAACACAATCAAAATCGCTCTCCACCTTTATAAGTTTTTATTTTGTTTTTTAATCTTTATTTTTTTATTGACTGGTAGAAAAACTTCCAGCTTTATAAATTTACTTAAACTGGACCGAAACGACCTGCCCAGCCACCTTTTTCTACTAACCTTTTTGTTCCGACAGTCCGTGAACGCATCTTTCGGTTTGGGTTACACCTTAAACGCTTTCCAAGATGCTAAGGCGAAAAACGCTCCTTATGTGTCACTGTAATGAACATTATACCGTAATAAACAGCGTATAATACATCGGGTTCGCGATGGATGAAGAAGACAAAGGGCAGACGTGAGTATCTTATAAAAGAATTTATATATTATAAAAAAAAAACAGCTGAATTGATGGTCCCCGGAAGACTAGCTAATAGCTAATAGCGGAAGCAGCTCCATTTATTTATAGCATAACTGGTGATTTAGCTTAGATATAATTAAGCGCCTGGGCAAGCATATCCTGCGATATGTTCGTGCTTTATAAGACATCATTAAATTTATTTTACACCTATATTTGTTGATGTATTGAGGTTGTTTTTGTTTGAGTGTTTGTAGAGTCAAAGTTCAGTGAAAACAGGGTTTTTCCTCTCCTGCAGATGTCATCTCCTGGATTTGCCGTGGGAGGACGTTCTTGTTCCACACATATTGTCCTATTTACCGCTGCAGCACATTGTGAGCCTGCAGAGGGTCAGCAAGCAGTTCCAAACACTGGTCCAGGTGTATCTGGCCAACTGCAGGACCTTTAATGTTTCTTCCGTAAGTAAAAACAAAAAGCTCACTATAATCAGGAGCAGTGCCTTGGGAAATAGATGATACAGAATAAAAAATAGTTTATAACTACCATGTTGAGGGATTTTAAGGTCTTACTCTGCAGAAATCTGAAGAGTATAGTTTATTTGTGGTCTGCCTCCTTTGTGATAATACTCTTAAATATAACCTAAAGTGCATTTAGCCCTCAGTCAGCAAAACAAACCTGATTCTGACTGGTCACCATTCTGTTGCAAGGCAACACAGAGACAAAACACATACAACCATGCACGCACACATTCACACCTAAGGACAATTTAGAGATGCAAATTAACCTAACAGTCATGTTTTTGGACTGTGGGAGGAAGCCGGTAGCCTGACGTAGTCCGACTCAATTCTAGTCAGAATATGAGTCTGATACTGCTCCATAGAGCTGTGATTATGGGGCTAATTCGAACGAACCAGGAAAAAAATGCCTCTGCACTCAATTGGATAGACCTACAACCAATAAGAGCAACGGAGTGCGTGACGTATGTTAAGCGAGGCATAGTTGTTGTCAACAAAAATCAAAGCGTGCAGTTGCACGCCTATAATAAGAAGATGAGACTTGATCGCGTTTCTCTGTTCCTCTTTTAAAATTAATTTGCTGTCGATATCTTCTAGAACAGACCTAATAGCAGAATCTACTCACCTAAACTCTCCAGCGGCAGCCATTATTGTTGTCACCTAAGCGCGCATTGGTCACGTGGTTGATTACGTTATTGTTGGTCATCTGTCCATCATCGTATAAAGCCCGCCCTGACAATTTGATTGGATCGCCTGACAGTGGGCGATAATACTCGCGCTACTATGGAGCAGAGCCAGACCGAACTTCCCGACCTCAAACTTTGTGGGTGGGACTAAGTTCGGAATGGCACCCAGGCTAGGAAGCCGGAGTACCTGGCGAGAACCCACTCATGCTCAGGGAGAACATGCAAACTCCATGCAGAAAGATCCCGGGCTGAGAATCAAACCCAGAACCTTCTAGCTGCAAGGCACAAAGAACCAGCTATTTGTTTTTGAAATATTTTTTTCTCTTTTGTATTTGTGTTTAATCCTCATGCATTTGTTCAGGACATATAACGCTACTGTAAAAATAGGATGGACCCATTTTCTTCTGGGATGCTGATGTTTGTAGGAAATGACACTGAAAATAATATTTCTTTTATCCTTATTTAAAAAAAGTGATTCTAATTGGAAGTTTTAGTGAAATTATTCTAGTAAAAAAAATGAAACCTGAATTTTCTAATTTTATTTTATTTTAAAAAATATAATTCTGCTTTTATGATTTTAAGCCAAATTTCTAGAGCCATGGTCCAAATAAAGCCCAGTCCAACAAATCCCTTCAGATGATACATAATTAGTAAATAAAGTAAATACAGTGGAAATGAATCCTAATATAAAGACTAAGTTTGTAATTTGCAGGACAGTTTTAAACACACCTCAAAATTGGACCAAATATAAAACCCCTTCCCCACCACCACCAAATTGAATTAAATCATTCCCTTTCACTTGATAATATGTTGATTTTCATTTTTATATTTTTATTCCTCGTAGGTTTGTTGGAGATAAATGGTGACCAAACAACACAGAGCCGGTCATGAAGAGCAGATATCCACAGGATTTATCAGTAGAATAACTGTTAGTTTTGCACTTCTTAAATATACATTTCAAAAACAATCTAGAAATAAGTCAACATTTCTTATATCAAGTGTATTTACCTTTAAATTGAGCAGGTTAATAAAATGATCTGCCAATGGAATGAGTATATTTACTCTTAAAATAAGATAATTAGATAATACGCACTTGAAATAAAAGATTGCAGTTGTTTTTCTTATTTTAAATGTAAATTGTCTTGTTACATTGGCAAAGTGTCTCACTTACCTCCTCAATTCAAGAAAAAATGCACTTATTTAAGTAGAAATTACTTTAGATTATGTTTTTTGCAGTGTGACCTTTATGTAAATGTGACTAAAGGAAAACCACTATTAGAATACAGTAAATCTTAGTCATGTTGTCAAAAAGTGCAAAAAAGCTGCTTTGTTGACACATTAAACTAGTTGATGAAGCAGCTCTAGTTGCGTGAGATTCAAAATAGGCATTTTACTTAACTCTACGTCTACATGCTAAATCAACCCAAAACATGGCAGAATGGTCCCTTAGAAGGGACAGAAGAAAGATTGTGATAAATACAGAGCAGCAAGTGAAAAATTTTAGTCAGCAGCTTCATATCAGGATGTAGTTTTCACATTTTACTTGGAGAAAATCCTAAAAATACACCCAGAACTACATAGAAAAGATTTGGAATAAGAAGTTTCCATATGTTTAAATGGACCAATCAAAGTCTAGAACTAAATTGAGTGAAGAATCTGTTGCAAGACTTTAAGATCCATCTCCGTGGCTGCGCCCCATTCTAGCTTGCTAATATTGAGCTGTAGTGGAAAGAATAACAGGCAGACATTTCAGTTAAATTTGAAGTAGGGTGAATCCAATTACTGTTCCCTTTTGTCAGACCTTTACATGTTAAGAAAAATTTGTAATTTTGTTCCCACTAGCAGTGTTTTGTGTTGATCTATCACTGAATTTCAAAATAAGATAGGTATATTGAAGTTTGTGGATGCAACATGACAAAATTATTATCAATGTATAGATTTAACTCTGTGCTCTGTTTAAATTTTTACAGATTGGACCATGCATCCCCAAGGAAGCATTTTGCACAATGTTAAAGGACAATAAAGTTCTCCAGAAACTGTCCCTTCAGAACTGTTCACACTGGGTCACAGACAAAGAGTTGCTTCCTGTTATCGGCCAAAACCAGCATCTGCAGAGGATAGACATGAGCGGCTGCGCCTCCCTCACCTGCCACTCCTTGGTGGCTGTGTCCTTGAGCTGCACGCATCTCCAACATCTGGGCCTGGCTCACTGCGAGTGGGTGGACTGCCTGTCTCTGCGCAGTCTGGCTGACCACTGTGGGGGGCTTCAGTCGATCGATCTCACCGCCTGCCGCAAGCTGAAGGATGATGCCATCTGCTACCTGGTGAAAAAGTGTTCCGAGCTGAAGTCACTGTCTCTGGCAGTGAATGCTAACATTACGGACGAGTCGGTGGAAGAAGTGGCCAAGAACTGCAGGAGTCTGGAACAGCTGGATCTGACAGGCTGTCTGCGAGTCAAGAATCAGTCCATCAGGTTTCTATAGAATTCATTTTACACACATGATTAGCTTACTGTCAGTCTTTGTATAGCCTCAGTTAAATAGAAGCGTCTCCTCTATCCATAAACACAAATAGATGATTGGGCCGAAAAAAAGCCTGTGCACTGGATCTTCACAATGTTATATTTCCAGAAAATGTTTTCGTACAAGCTGGATCTTTGTCTGCAATAATGTAAAAAGCAATTTAGATTAGACAAGACCTGTGGTTTTGGAACTGAGAAAGCAAAGCATTAAAAATGCATTGAAAAAAAATATGTTTAGCAGCAACATAAATCTACCCATGTTCAAAAACTCTGCTTGAAATATTCTGCACTCACAGCCTGATCTGGAGAAAGTTTGTGCGTCTCAAAACAGATACAAACATGTTTGTACACAGAGCAGATCTTCAAAGAAGCTGCAAAGTGATTTGCTTTCCTGATCATATTCTAATGAGCATTAGAATACATCATGTAAAGCTATTTTTTAAATCCAAAACTCAAACCTAGCTGCAGTTTTTGCATCTTTTTTTTCAGTACTTTTGAAAGTCAGGTACAAACTGACACTCAAAAATATCTGTGTAATCAGACAAATACATATTTATCATGTTAGATTTTATTTTAAATTTCTATATTTAAATTTATTTATTTTACATGATTTTATATTTTTTTACTTTTGTTTTAGATAGGCTATCTATTCCAGGTGCACTTTATTTTTGTTATTATATATGGAAGGCATATGTATTTGTATAGTACAATTTAGTACAAAGTATATTTAAAGTGCTATACATAAATGTGAATTAATTCAGTATCAGTATCTTTTATTGTTTTATAATGATCATCATACCTCCAGCTAAATGGCTTAGAACCTCATATCTCCTTTACTGCTGCTGTCAAACTCTCAATAGAATACTGATTTTAACAGTTCCAACCAATCCAGGTGCCTGATTTTAAAATTGTGCAATAATCTTTGTAGATCACCAGCAGCACGCCCGCTTATTGCATGGACAAAATAATGGTTGCATGTGCAGTTTAGCACTCTATATCTGGAATCTTTGAAGATCAAGCCCTATAATACCAGAATAATACAGAAACCTCAGCAAAATAGTGAACCTTAGGATAAAGAGGTATGATTTTTTAATTTTGTTGTTTCGTTTTGGGTAAATTAGACAATTTTGCAACTTTGAAGATCAAGTGTTTTGGCTTTTCTCTATGCAACCTTATTTAATGTTTCACAGACCAGCACCTTGTAGCTTAACTTATGTTAAATTTATATACTGACATAAAGCAGCTCATTTGATCATCCATTCATAGGAACCCTCTGTTGCTTCTATATTCTTAAGGACTCTTTCTGAGTATTGCCCAAAGCTGCAGTCCCTGAGGGTATATCACTGTCACAACGTGACGGAGTCGAGCCTCGATCCTCTGCGGAAGCGTAACGTAATTATTGACGTTGAGCCTCCTTTACCAAGGGCTCTGGTGCTGCTTCAGGATATGCTGGGGTTCGCTCCTTTTATCAATCTTCAGATATAACCGATGGGTAATACTTGCAACAAGTCCACAAAGTAAGGGTAAGAACAGAAATTTTGAATGTTGTTTTTCGTTTTGTTTTTTCCACCAGTTCGGATTGATATGTTTTACAGTCACCTTTTGCTTCCTTTGCAGGCGACTGACGACGACTGTCACTTAGTCTGACAACATATGATGCACAGTGTTTTTAAAAAACAAATTTAAGCTCCAGGAATTCATGGATATGGAATCAGAAGAGAAAAAAGAGGAAATCTCACTGGAATGTGGTGAAGGATGCAAAGTCTGGATGAATTTAACTGAAAAATAACCACTTCTGGAACTCAAATTGTGTTTTTTGCCTCGCTGCTTCCTGTCCAAAACCTATTTCTGCACTTTTTTTTTTAATTTTCTCTTGATGTTTAAGAGCGCATTTCAAACCAAAAGTATAGCATAATGTTTTGCTGCTTGTTAAGAACAAAATGCAAAGTTACAACAAATCTTTATGTTTTATTAAGAAACATAAAGAATGCTTGAGTTTAATAAAACCTTTTGTTTTGCATGTGTTTACTTACTGAAAGGAAATAATGATCCAAAAAACACAAAAGCATTCCCAAAGCTCTCACTGCTACTACTAGATATTGTTAGCGTATTTATTATTTAAAGTTACCACTAAGGAGAAAGAAGTGCTCGCCATGGACACGATTTCTAGAAACTGCTTACTTTTACCTGCTTTCTAATAAGGAAAGCTGAGACTTTTAGCCTGAGCAGAAGCTCGTAAATAATGAAAACCATGTATGTAGTTTGTGCGATGTGATTAAAGTGACTCTTGAATTCCTGTTGGTATAAATGCACAGCTTCAGCACTTATTTCAAATCTAAGAATTTATTCAGAAGTGTCTTAAAAGGTGTAATAGGAATTCATTTAGCAGTTATTGTCTTTGTGATAAAGCACATTAATTGTATAAGCAGTTGAATAAATATAAAAAAAATCAACCTAAATTATTTTGTGGATCATTTTCTTTATTTTACAAGCAAAATCAATTAGTTATGTTTTTTTTTGTCTTTCTTTTAATCTGTATTTGAAATGTTGAGGTTTTTCATAGATTTTTTCTACATTTTGAAGGATTGCTTTGTTTTCCATGTCAATGCTCCCCGCTCCTAGTCCTTGAACATTGTAGCTTTTATGTTTTAGATGTTTTCTATCAACTGAACCTTGATGGCATACCGATAAAGAAAAACATTGATCCTTTTGATGTGTCATGGAGCAGGGATACATCTAAAACCTACAGAAACTTAACGTTGATAGTTAGGGACAATTCTGTTATTAATATTTTCAATCATTCTTTATTAAAAAGAGCTCTTAGCTCAGGGAATCTTTCAGCATAAATTTTAAGTCCCCCATAGATTCTTAGCTTGACTTTTCTTAACATTCTTGAATGTGTTTGAATAAAAAACATTCCCATTGTAATTCTGGCTTTATTTTTAGGGTTCCTTTTCCAGCTTCAATGTGAACCTCAGCAGGTTTCTTCCTGTATTTTACTACATTCATCCTTCCATCCCCTTAATCAGCTTTGCAATGACTAAAAGTAAATTCGCAAACTGGAATAATTGCGACATAGAGCAGCCTGGGTCTTAGCTTTAACTTGACCTGTCTCCTCAAGTGGCATAGCAGGTTGCTGGTGCATTAAATACGGTCAATGTTCAGGAGATTATCAAGGTTGAATCCACAAGAAGGTCAACATTTGCAAACATCCACAGTCAAAACTTTTACTTACTTTACTTTTTAATGTACCCCAAGCTTCAACTGAGTTGGGAAAAACTGCATTCTTCTACTCTGCACCTTGGGGATGGAATAACCTCCAGAAAGAGCTCAAATTAGAAATTCTCGTGTCAGTTAATGAATTTAAAGCAACCATGAAGAATGTAGTGATGGAGATATGTGCTTGTTTTTCTTGAGATGCTCAATGTGTTTTAACATACTGCTCTGATTTTATTTTTTTTTATGTTTTTTTTTAATTATTTTTAATTATTTTTAATTCTTTATTTTTTATTTTGCAAAATGTAATATGTTGTAAATATGTATGAACTTCCTGTGGTTTGGCTGCTACCTTGGCCAGGTCTCTCTTGGAAAAAGAGATTCTGAATCTCAATGGGACTTCCTGGTTAAATAAAGGTTAAATAATAAAAAAAAAAAACTGTTGGGGTTTCCAACCAGGCTAGCTTCAACTACCTGTCCAGTAAAGGAATAACCGACTCCCCTAAATAAACGTGATTTAATACCACTAAAATGCATCTAAAATAATATGTTTAAATGCAAAAATTGAAATGCTAATTTTTTTACTAAGGATTTTAAACATTTTAAGGAAAACATAACCTTCCTCACAGTGTGACGCTGCCTCCACTGTTTTTCAGAGTGGGGATGGTTTGTTTGTTATGATGTGCAATGTTACGCTAGTTTTCAAATGCTTTCTGTGTTTTTTTTTTTTATGTTTGCTTTAATTTCCATCAAGGATTATATTAAGAATAACTTTCATGTATCACATTTAACAGAGACGTTCTCCTTGCTCCTCTTCCATTCGTTCAAATTTGTGAAGAAAATAACTTTGTCTCATCAATATATTCTCCCAGCAGAGCAGTGGATCTCTCCAGCTTCTATTGGCTGCTTCTCTCATTAGTGCTCTCCTTGCTTTAACTTGATTTTAGTACGGTAGTGGTAGATGTACACTTGTTTTATATTATTTCCATTTTCAATTGTTATATCAGCAATCCTCTGTGAGTTGTTGAAAATGTGGAACATTGTTTTATAAAATAGCCCTACTTTTATCCCCTTCACCATTTTAACCTGGATCTGTTAGCAACGGGTTTCCCTGAGTCCCTCATGGAAATATATATGTTATATTTTTATATATAATATATATTAGTGCTGCATTTGATTTATGGGTAGCAGAGTAAAGGAACAGATACACATGCATGCCCAATTTTTGTACTTTTATTACTAAAAAAATATATATATATTTTTCATCTTGGTCAGATTTAACCCTTTTACAGTTTGGGGAAATAAACTGACTCAGATGTATTGTAATAAGGATAACATGACCTTCTTTTGAGGTAAAAAAAAAATAAAAATACATTAAACTGAATTGTAATTTGAGTCATAGCAACAAGAAGGTTGAGGGTTCGATTCCCGGCCTGAGGTCTTTCTGCATGGAGTTTGCATGTTCTCCCTGAGCATGCATGGGTTTTCTCCGGGTACTCCGGCTTCCTCAAACAGTCCAAATACATGACTGTTAGGTTGATTGGCTTCTCTAAATTCTCATTAGGTGAGAGTGTGCATGAATGGTTGTTTGTCTTGTTTGTCTCTGTGTTGCCCTGCGATGGACTAGCGACCTGTCCAGGGTGTACCCCGCCTCTAGCCTGCAGACAGATAGAGATAGGTACCAACACCCCTCGCGACCCCACTTTGGATAATGGATGTGCCAGAAAATTGATGGATGTAATTTGAGTCTTAAAAAGAAAGTAGAGACGTAATACAATTACAATGTTGATCAATTGTCAACAGCATGAAATGATGGTTTTCATCTTTTTCTGAGGCTTTCTGATTTTTATAACCTAAACTAACACAAGGTGGCAGCATTGCCTTAAGTTATTGGTCCCTAGTTCTGTTTGGGCCTCCCCTAGTTTAAACTTCAATTGATGACAGACATATTACAGTTTTATAGTGCAGATACATCACCAATAGTTGGTACAATACTACTCTTTTCAGGGATTTAGAAGAGAAAATCTTGTAGCTGACTTGTTTAGCAGGCTGTGACAACAAACATCAGCTTTAAAGGTCTCGTTATTGTCTGACGGAGCGAAAGCACAGCAAGAATTAAAGCTTCCCCCTCGTTGCCTCGTAGCTTTTTGCAGTTTTCTCTGGTGGTCCACTTGGCAGACTATACCGAGTCTTGTCTCTGCGACAGCACAACAGGTCTATTTTCCACATGATGGCATGGTTTACCCCATCTGCTGTGCGCCGTCCACAGTGGTTGTGTTTGTAAGGCTTCGGGGATCACATAGCATCCTTCTGTTGGCTTTGTTGATCTTCATAATTTACTGCTGTCCCTCAAAGGAGACTCTGTGATGCTCTTAGTTGGAAAACATGATATGTTTGTCCCTCTATTGTAAGTTTGCTTATGATACCCACGGTTATGGAAACACCTGTACAGCATGGAGTCAGACTAATTCAATATTGTCCATTAAATGTATGGAAAAGTGTCTTACCCTTTCTTTTTATTTTTATCACCCTTTGTGACTTCAAAGTTCACTCTGCAGCAGCACAAATGGCCTCATTTCTTGTTGCTGAGCAGCACTCTGTGGGTTAAAAAAACATTTCAGGCTACATTCATCATCAAGGACCTCAATTAGCATTGATCTGCAGGAGGGAAAAGAAACATTGCCGCAATATGATGTTCCATGGAGCAATTTCTGTTCCAGTGATTGAGTGTATGGGGGGGGATTTCTCAAACACTGCCAGCCAAACATATTTTGTCTTCCTGTCAATAATCTGGCACTTGTCTAAATTATTGATCAATAGTAACTGATCATTTTATACGAAGGCTCTGCAGTGAAGTTGGTTCATTCCATTCATGATGCAGTTTTAGCTCCAGGCAGTATGTAATATATTGTACTCATTAAAGCAATGAATAAATCTAAGTTTAATCTCTGGCTGCATATAATGCCCTCACTGACGGTAAAGATGTTGTCCAGAGATATGTGGGGTATGTTTATGGTGGCTCGGTCTCAAAAGAATAAAACTCACATCATACTATAAAATAATAATAATAAAATCAGCTATGTTTGAATTCTTTAGTGAATGAGCATTTTAGTGAAGGATTTAGGTTTTAAATGGTGGGTTTGTTTTAATAAAGTACCTTGTTTCATTTATTTTTATTTGGAAGAGATAAAAAACTAGCTAAACAGACATTTTCCTTACAAAAGGGTATACTTGCACATTTTCACACTTTTTCATGCAAAACTGCAAACTTCTAGTTTTACTGGTATTTACTTGTGTGGGATTTTAAAACAATTAATGACCGCCCAAAATGTCTGCTAATGGAAATACGGTAGCCCCTCTTTATTCTGCTACCTTTAAAACAAATCCAGTTCCACCTATTGAATTCCAAAGTCACCTGTTGAATGAAGATAATGCAATCCAAATAAATCCAGCTGTTCCATGAAGGTCTCATAGTTTTGATAGAGTCAAATATATCATGAACCACACCAGACAGATACAGGTTTTAAGTTGCAAAGACGTTTAAGGCAAAGTTTGATTATACAGGATAATAATACAAGAGTATTGTGTTGATCATAATTTGAAAATAAAGTGGGTATAGCCAGGTGCAAACCTACCAAGAATAGGATGTCCACCTCAACTGACAGGCCAGGAAACATGGGCGGTTTGAGACAGGAGATAAAAGGGGCCCGTATCTCTGTAGAACTGATCCTGGACCCTGTTATGGCCCCTGTACAAAATACATGATACATAATATATTTATGATAAATACATTTTGATATGTAATGGAACAGAAACTGTAACTGATAAGTCTCTTAGACTAATTAATTTTATTATTTTTACAATTTATCCATCCATCTTCTCCTGCTTATTCCATCAGGGCCACAGTGGGGCCAGTGCCTACCTCTATTAATTATGATTTAAAAATTAAGTTGATGCACTTTTAGCTTTCAGTCATAATCAGATAGAATCAAGGTTTTTGTTTCCGCTAGATCTGATGATTCCAGAGCTGCTAATACCTCTTTGGTTCACTTTATATCTCAAATGATGAACTATTGCCCTGTTTTTTGGTTTCATTCTTGTGTTCGGCACCCCCATGAAAAAAACACTGGCCCCATCCTGACACCATTAGTAGATTTGCACTGGAACTGCCACTGCCAGGCAAGGGGGGCCTTTACCAGAAAATCAGCCTTGATGCCCTTAAAGCTTCAGGGAGCTACAGAGA